AAAGAGGCGCAGTAGTTCTGAGTGTCTCATTTGACGTCCAATATTCAGTATGTCTTTCCAAAATCAGGATCCTAGAGTTGGAAGGAACTTTAAAAGCCTAGCCACTCTATTACTATAGGAACATGCAGGTGAGCGTTCCTTTACTTGCCATATTCCAGAATATATGGAAAACAACTTAAAACATGGCTTTTTCCCTTTTTTTTAGCTTTGATTATTAAATTTTTGTGTATGTGTTATAACTAAAATCAGTGTTCCTCTGACTTCTATATAGTTGGTCCTAGGCATCAGAGGATTCTTCACGCACAGATAACAGAAAATCCATTTCAAAATGACTTAAACTAAAAAGGAAATTTAATCAGTTTAATGAAGTCCTGGAGTAGATTGGATTCCAGCTTAGCTGTTTTCTTTAATTTTTTTTCTGTTTTCTCTTTCCTCTCTGTTGATACTTTCAGGCTGGCTTTTTAGCAGGATGGTTGCAGCAGCTCGAAGCTTCCTACTTTCACGCAGTCACATCCATAGAAAAGAGAACGCTGTAGAGAAAAGAGTGCTAGGCTTTTTTGGAAACCTCATTGAAAGAGGCACTGTTTCTTGTTGTGTCTAATTGAGTTTTGTGCTCGTACTTGAACCAAATGCTATACCCAGAAGGACGGGACATATTTGTTTGGTTTTGCCCAGTTAGGGCTCACCCCTGAAGCCTGTGAGTGGGAAGAGAGAAACGTTGCTGGACATAAGTTAGCACTGATACTAATTTTTCCAACAACGATTAGAGTCTGTTTATGCTACCTGCCCATCAGTCATTTAGTAGCTATCTTGGTTATCAGATTGACTGTCGCAGTGCTTGTATTCAGGTAGCCCGTTTTTGAATGACCTCAAAGCCATTCACATAACTTTTATTACAGTATATTGTTATAATTCTATTTCATTGTTAGTTATTATTGTTAATGTCTTACTCTGCCTAATTTATAAATTAAACTTTATCATAGTTATGTATGTATAGGAAAAAAAAGATAGTGTATATAGGGTTCAGCACTATCCACAGTTTCAGGCATCCACTGGGGGTCTTGGAATGTATCCCTTGTGGATGGGCGGGGGGCCGCTGTACTCAGTATTGCTGTAATGGCAATTCTCTCGAAATTCAGATTTAGTCATTTTCAATAAAAATGACTTTAATGTATACATGATAGACTGACTCTAAAACAAAGCATGTGAAATAGAACATTTTATTAAAAAAAAAGTTGAAGGATTTACATCACTTGATTTTAAGATTTATTGTCAAGCTGCAGTAATGAGGACAGTATGATTTTAGCATAAGGACAGATAGAGATCAGTGGAAAAGAATAAAAATAGTACTGCGCATGCATGGTTAATTGATTTTCAGCAATGGTGCTGAGGTAATTCAGTGGGTAAAAGGATGGTCTTTCCAATAAATTGTGCTGGATTCACTACATGCTTGTGTAGAAAAATAATGAACCTTGACTTTTCAACATTATGCACAAAAATTAACTTGAAATGGATCATAGATCTAAACATAAAAGCTAAAAGTATAAAAGTTCCAATAGAAAGCATTTGAGAAAATCTTTGTGACCTTGAGGTAAGCCAAGAGTTTTTAGAATACAAAAGCATAAACCATAAAAGAAACAAATTGATAAATTGGACTTTATGAAAATTAAGAACTTCTGCTTTCCAAAAGACAGAAAGAAAATGAAAAGGCAAGCCACCAGGCTTGGAAATATATGTCATATATGTATATAAGGATGGATTCAGAATATGTAAATAATTCACATAGCCAGTAAAGCAAATTAGTCATCAGGGAAATTAAAATTCAAGTTACAGTTCAATATCCCCCACACCCATTAGAATGACTAAAATTAAAAGAAAAACAATTCTGAGTGTTGACAAGGGCGCTAGAGCAACTAGAACTCATACATACCTGCCGGAAGTATAAAACGGTGAACTCTGGAGATCAGATAGTAGTTTAATTTTTCTTACTACGTTAGATTGTTGCATCAGTGATATTCAGAATTCACAAATTGAATTTTAAGTTATTTCTCTGTATGCTATAAAAATTTATGTAGGAGTTTACATCCTTAAAATTAAAATAAAATTTATTTTATGAAACTTAGAGAGTATGGTAGTTTTATACTGGGTAGCCCTTTGAGAGCTGAGTTTTTTCTGTTTCTTGGTCTTTTTGTTAGGAATTTGTTTTTTTCTTTCATAAGTCAAAATGTTATATATATATTTGTGTGTGTGTGTGTGTGTGTGTATATATATATATATATGAAAACCATCAATTCCATTCATTTTTTTTTCAAATTTATTGGAACGATATGACTAAAGTGGGCTTTTTATAGTCTTCTTAATTTCCTCTGTATCTGTTTGTTAATGCATTCCCATTTCTTATTTTAAGTTTTTGTATTTCTGTGACTACTTTTAAAAAATTGGTTAGTGGTAGATTCATTGTATAGGTCTTTTCATAAAACTAATACTGAATTTATTATTTTGACAGTTTTCTTCATTTCAAATTCATTAAGTTCTACTTTTAGCTTTTCTGATTCATCTGCTTTGTTGTTCAAGTTTATCATTCTTTTTCTTCTTAGTAGAATATTGTGGATTCAGTTATTTTCATTTGTTCTTAGTGGGTAATATAACATTTTCAACTTACGAGTTTTTCTCTGAGTACTGCTCCAATTGATTTCTGTGTTCTCACAATAAATTTTATTAATGTCATATATTCTGCAGTGTCATATTTTACTTCTTTGATCCAAGGGTCGTTTTAGCCCTTTTAGTTTTTCCAGTTGAAATCTTGATTTGTCTAGGTAAACAATCCTAGTGACAGCCAGTATTTCAACTTTGTCTCTGCTTTGAGCTTTTAGCTGATGGCACACACCTATAGCTACCTATAAACTTTGAAATAGGAACAAAAGGTGATACTCTTAAGGATTTAAAATAAGCATGATAAATATTTTGGACAAAATACTAAAATGGGAAAATACATATTTAGGTGATTATGCAAGAGATAGGGATATGTGGGTGATTAAATAGCCTAATAAAGTTTTTGTTACCTGAATAAAAGATGAGGACAAGAAAAGTAAAAGGAAAGTATGTCTGTAATAACCCAGAACAAACATTCTAGTTAATATCAACATGAAGAGAACTGAGTTGGGAAAAGACCAAGGAATTTATCAGAGTGTGGTGGAATATTTGCCTTGTTAGTGATACACTTCTTGATAAGATGAAGAAATTGTTAGGAGCACACAAACAAAATGTGATGTAAGTGAAGGACAACTATTATAAGAACAAATTTTTATAGCTTTTTTTTAACTACATCAAAACATTAGGATTTTTTCAAATGCAAACCTATCATATTTCTTTGACTTTTTCAGATATATTTTAATTTATTTAAAATTTTTTTGTCTTATTACACTTATATAGCTTTAGACCTTCATAAGAAAATGCTATTTACCCAGTAGAGAAAGGAATAACATAACATAACTTAAGTAATGTCAAATGCTGACTCTTAAAATATCACCAGAATAACTGGTTGATAAGACAAAACTTTATCTTTGTTTAATGTTTACTTTGGTAAGGTAGATAGCCTGTCAGACAGGGAAGGAAAAGTTTAGATATTTATTGAGATTTAAAATCTGGTTTAAGATGGGCCTTTCAATTGGTGGATGCTTGTTTATGATGATGAGTTAAGGATCATGATACAATAATTCAGTATTGGTAAGAAGAGAATTTGGAGGCAGAGTTCAGAGTTTTGGGATGTGAGCCATCATTTGATACTTTCTTTTGAAGAGTTGACTGGTCTGTCAGGAAGCTCCTGGAATGAACAATAAAGTTATTTAGCAACTTTTATCTTTCTGAGCAAGAGACTCCTGAAACAGTAAACTCTTGATGAAGACAGCATAATAATAAAGTCATGTTAGTGTAGATAGTAAGCTGTGTGGATGATTTTCATTTTCAGAAGACAGAAATAATAATCTTATTCCTGAGATGGGAGAGGACCCATCTGCTCCCTGCGATTTATTTTTTTTACGATGCTACTAGGTTTGTTCGTTAATATTTTATTCAGGAATTTTGCACTTACATTCATTAGTAAGATGGACCTATTTTCTTGTCATGTGTTTACAGTATCTAGTTTTGGTATCAGCTAGGTTTTTTTTTTATCCTCACTTGAGGACTTTTTTTTCCACTGCTTTGGGAGAGAGAGACATTGATGTGAGAGAGAAGCATCGATTTGTTACCTCTTGTTTGCACCCCAGCTGGGGCTCAAACCTGCAACCTGGTTATGTGCCCTGACTGGGAATCGAACCTGTGACCTTTCCATTAACAAGACAACACTCCAGCCAACTGAGCCACACTGGCAGGGCACCTAGCTTTTTGGAGTTACTCCCTCATGGAAACGTTTTCTTTAAGATCAGGATTATCACTTCCCTGAAGATGGGTAGATCTAATTATTTTGATTTTCTCTACTCACATTTTGTTTTCTGACTTACTTTTTCGGTATGATCAACCTGCTTCTTGATTGCTAAGGATTATTATAGTTTCTGTTCTGTGGTTATCTAGCCTTATTGTATTTGTGTTGTTATTTTTAGGTATAAATTTGCCTTTTCTACAAATTTATACCAGAAGAGTATCATTGTCTTATGACTTAGCTTGTCACCTTAAACTACCCTCCCCATTTCTTGAATTAATCCTCCTCTGTTTTTTAAACCTAATTTATTTAAATAGATAGATCTTATATTATTATGACCAGGAAGAAAAGGATAATTATAACTTTAATTTTTCTTTATCTTCTTATTAGTTGTCAGCGTGCCATTTTTAGGAAAATATATCAAACAATGTATATTATCTGTTCTTATGGAAAAGTGAACCACGTTGGATATTTTTTTGCTCCTTATATTCCTACTATGATTTGCTTTTTATATATAAAATATTTTAATAGACCTTATGTGAAGAGCATTATTTTAATGACAGTTTTTCTTCTCCAAATGTAGGAAGTTCACAAATGGGTGCTACCATAGTAGATGCTTTGGATACTCTTTATATCATGGGACTCCATGATGAATTCCGAGATGGGCAAAAATGGATTGAAGACAACCTTGATTTCAGTGTGGTGAGTATGAAGTTAATTTCTTTGATTGACTATGAAAGGACACCATGTCTAACCATAATAGTTTTGAGCATTATACTGGCAGCTTAAGGACATTCTGAGTTCCCCTTTTTCTTTTGGGATTATCAGATATTTAATTTTTGCATAAAATATACATTCTTACCATCTTCCTTGTACTTTTCTTGCCCTTATCATTTGAGGCCATGTGTTAAGGCAGCAGTTAGGGGGAAAACACATTGGACTAGAAACATGAGGAAAGCATAAACTGTAAATAGTAAGTGTTTTGTTATTATTTTTAAAGATTAAATTATTTGGTACAACTTTGATGAACCTTCCTACCTATCTAGCATTAGGCCTTCTAGCATTTTGGCACAGTTGTTCAATAGTGCTACATACGTTTGAAGCCCAGCACAGCTACATTCTAGCTGTGTGACTTTGGAAAGTTTCTTATTCTTTCTAAACCTATCATAAAATTGCTATTCAAGTGCAATATTGTGAGGATTATTTGAGATAATCTGGTACATATAAGTGCTCATCTAATGGTAGCAATTATTTTCTTTATTACCAGTCTTCATCTAAAAGATGTGTGGACTGTTTTACATCTTCATTATCATCTTCCACGATATTTGTGCTTGCTGTTCCTCTGACTGTAGTCAGAACTCACTCCTTTTCTATGTGTTTTTCTCTGGCAGATTCTGCACTATTTCAGTTGTGATTTAAATCCATAATTATTTCTTCTCCCATGTTTTTTCCTGATGCTAACTAGACAGAACTGATTGTGTTCTTTTATATTGTTCACGCATTTTGGACACATCTCAATTAGAACAATTTTTATTATCAGGTAGGTTTAGGTTTGGCTGTGAGTGGCAGAAAACCTAATATAAAATAGCTTAAACAGGATAGATGTTTATTTCTCTTTCATTCGAATTAGGTACAAAGATAAGCCGTTTAGGGTTGGTTTGGTTAGCTCCTTGATCATTAAGATCCTAGAGTTCTTGGTCTTGCTGCTCTGCTCTACTCATGGACGAAGGTGATTCTTCAAGATAAGGTGGGTAAACCTTCCAGTTGCAGAAAAGGGGAAGGGATAGAGAAAGATATGCTGTGTATACTGTTGAATAGCTCTGACTCATATGGCCCAGCCTTACTGTAAAGAGAGGCCGAGAAATGCAGTCTTTTTTCTTTTTTCCCCCTGTTTGGCTATGTAGTCCTTATCAGGTGGTACTTTATATATCTTGTTTAAGAAAGCCCTACTCCAGGGTGAAGTATATATATACATGAAGATATATTACTGTATTTAATTTTAAATATTTAATATTTGCTTTTGCATTTAGGTCTTTAATTTATGTGGAATTGATTTTTTTTTTATGTAGGGCAAGATAGGCTACCATCAGTTGATCCTAGTACCATTTATTTCCCCACTATTTATACATGCCACATTAGTCATATTAATCTATTTCCTGTTGGCTTTTTTTCTTTATCCCTACATCATTATTAAACTCTCTTAACTGCAATATTTTGGTGAGAAGCTTGATATCTATATTTGAATCTTGATGTCTGGTTTTGTTCCTCTGGGGAATTATCTTAATTCTCATTTATTTGTTATTCTAAGCTCGGAAATACTGTTGAAATTTTGATGGGGATTATATTGAGTTTATAGGTTAATTTGGAGAGAATTGACATCTGTGCAATTTCAAATACTCCTGTTCATTAATGTGGCAGGTTTATTATGCCTAATAATTTGCTGCTTTATCATTTTTATCAATGGGCTCTATCTGGAACCAGAACTATACCATTTTTTTTTAATTAGAGGATTTACTGTTTAGAATTCTTAACTAAATAATGGGGAACTGAAAAAGCAGAAAGAGGACATTGTGTTATCACAAGGGGTAGTAACTACAGTAAACAGCTACCACCCCTGGGACTTTGAGAACAATGTGAAGAGATTGGGATAATTAAAGTTTAGTAGCTAGGGATCTATTTCTGGTACCACAGGAATTCTTAGAAAGGCTCTCTCAGAGCTAGGTCTCAGACTTCTGGAGAGGGGCTATCTAGTGCTGTGTATCGCTAAGGGTCGTAATGAAGCTGCCTTGGAGATCGTGTATGTGTGGCAGGGAACCTGGAACCAACTGCCACCCCCAGGGTAGAGGTAAATTAGGGAGAATAAGTCCCTTCTTCTTCTAGCCTTGTATATTATCTTAGTAAACCTCCTACTGGCAAATGAGAGCTGCATTTGCAGAGTTCCAATTCTAGTATTAAGAAAGTAGAGTATGGATAATGGATTTGAACCTGAGAAAAGATAGCTTAATAATCAGCACAGTCAATCATTTATCATCCCTTTACTTATACCTTGTGTATCATATGTTTAGCTGTATATCATACATATAGTGGTATTTTGCTTTTGTTACTTTTATCCAGCCTTGGAGGCTGTTAACTGCTAAATTTGAAATAATTACATTTATTATAACATTTGGAGCTGTAGCTTCCATCTTTGGCTACCTATATTATTATGCTTTTCATTTTCTTTTATTTTGTCTTTATTTTGAATTAAATTACTTCATGTTTCTTTTCCTCTCTACTAGTTTGGCATTTATACTTTTCATTTCCATAATTTTGGTGTTGCTCTTAAATTTTATATGTGTTCTTATCAAAATTTAAAGATTTTTTAAAAAATTTATGATTTTAGAGAGAGGAAGGAAGAGAGAAAGAGAAACATCAATTTGTTATTCCACTTATTTATGCATTCATTTGTTGCTTCTTATATGTGCCCTGACCAAAGGTTGAGCCCACAACCTTAGCATATCAGGACAGTGCTCTCCAACTGAACTACTGGCCAGGGACTCAAAGTTTAAGATCAGCCAGGTTCTCTATCCTCTTTCTGAAGGACACAAGAAGGATCTTAGACTGCTTTAACTTAGCTTCTCTCTCTTGTCATATGTACGATTCTTACCTAGTTGACCCAACTTGTATTTGAAACTTCCAAATAAAGTAATGAATAAATAAATATATTTATTGAATGCTTCCTCTATAAAAGACACTGTTGTAGATTTTGTGAAAAAAGTAATGAACAAAACAGAGTCTTGCCCTGACTGTTGTGGCTCAGTGGTTTGAGTGCTGGCCTGTGAACCAAAAGGTCACCAGTTCAGTTTCCTTCACTTTCCAGTCAGAGCACATGCCTGGGTTGTGGGGCCAGGTCTCTGGCTGGAATGTGCAAGAGGCAACTGATCAGTGTTTCTCTCTCACATTGATGTTTCTCTGCCTCTCTTTCTCCCTACTTTCCCCTTCTCTCTAAAAATAAATAAAGTCTTTAAAAGAAGCAAAAACAAAACAGAGTCTTATCTGTTTTTTTAGTTTATATTCTAGCTTTGGAAGAAAAACAGTTGTTAACCTAACAATAAAAACCTAAAGTGAGAGGCAACAAGCATTTATCTGAGATTTAAAAAAATTGCTATCTGGGGGGATAGATTTAGGCAGAGATTTAAGTTATGTTCTGATTAGGAGGGAAGGCAAGGGGTTTTTATGAGAAGGGAAAGGAAAATAATTATGTGATTAGAAGGAAAGAATTTCTATTGGTGCTAATAAGCTGAGTTTTTCTCTAGCTGTACACATGGTAGTGCTAATTCTAAAGAATGTTTTTAATTTTAGCCAGGATTTCTGCTTTTCTGTTAGCTTTAGAAACAGCTGTTTGGAATATAATGTTGGTTTTGCCCAGTTCATAGGTTATTTTTGTCCAGTTTAAATATGTATTCCAAAGGTTTGAGGGGTAAGACATGCCAGGTAGTTTCTCTGGGATGATGGCTCTGATTCCATTTTGAAATGGCTCCATTTATAACATTTGTCACACAGTAAACAAAGATTCCAAGTTATATGTATTGTAGTATATCAGTTGGTGATAAGTGCTGTAGAGAACAATAAAGAGTAAGTAGGACTAGAATAAGTAGTACTGGGGATTCCTGTTTTACATAGGGTGGTCATTGAAGGACCCTGTTATGGTGACATTTCTGAGAGGAGACCCAAGGGAACCATGCGCATATAAGGCTCTCTCCTACTAGGTATTATAGGTGAGTATGGAATTAGAGGCTGATGATTATTTTCTCTTAACTTTCTGAAGATACACTTCCATTGTCTTTCAGTTGCTGTTATGCTGTTGAAAAGGGTCTAATTTTTCAAAGATAATGTCTTTTTCTCCTTGTTTTAATATTTTTAATGTTTTTGCTTTGTTGTAGTATAATTCCATTACCATATTTCTATTATTTTTTAAAGGATTTATAGTGTTTTATCAGCCTGAGGATTTATGTTTTCATCAATTTTGGGAGATTCTCAGTCATTACTCCTTTAAATAATGTCTATCTCCCACTCTTTCCCAACTCTCCCTCTAGAACTTCCCTTATTTTCTGTCTCTCTTGTGAGGGAAGGTATGAATTTTACAAATAAAGAATTATACAGTAATCAGACAATAACTGTTAATCAGGGAAATAACGCAGTGCCAGGGATATTTTTGATGAAGGATTATTTTACTGTTTTATATTGTGTTGTTAGAAAGACCTTCAGTGTAAAGACTGGCAGAGGAGTTTGGCAATTCTGGAACAGCAAGTAGAACCATTTGGTAATAAAAAAATTGGGTTGAAGGAATATTGGTAGGAGATAACATCAGAGAGGTGATGGAGAATCTGATTATGATGGGTCTTATCAGTCACTTTACACTTAGTGTAGCCAAAGGTCATTGTAAGGACTTGCACAGAGTAGTAACCTAAACTGAGTTAAGATTTAAGAGGCTCAGTCAGCTATAGGATGCTGTATAAATAGAGTGTAAGCAGAAGAGTAAGGATGAAATCAGGGAAACTATGAAGCTAGAAGATTATGAAGGTGGTAGAGGCCCTCCCTCCCTCTTCCCTTCCTCCCTATATTTATGAATGTCTATTGCTGTGTGCTATGTATTGGGAATATATGGAGTAATATAAACACTGCTTTTGAGTATGGGGTGTGATGACAGTTATTAAAAATTACATTGTATTGTGAAAATTCTACATTGGAGAAATATACTTGTGTTATCAAATGATGTGTTCTGTTCATGAATGCTGGAAGGACTTCAAGGTAATATATATTACCTTTTAATTTTTATTAAAAAATTAATCATAAATATTATCTTTATATTGGTCAATTGTGTATATTCTCTGAATTCTTTGGTCATGTTCTTTGCCACTTCTACTTTTCATTCTATGTATTAGGATTTTTCTCAGCAGTGCCTGTATTCACATCTAAATACAAATGGACTCTATGTAGTAAGGTTATTAATACTGCTATGTTTATCCCAAACTTTATTCTGTTGTTTGCTTTTTAATTTTATTCATAATTTTTTTCTCATAGGTAATTTACATCTTGGGGAAACTCAAGTCTTTTTATCAGCATTTGTTATCAATGCTGTTGATTTTATGCTTACAAAGTAACTTCTTTCTCAAGGAAGTTTACATATTGTCACATTTTCTTCTACCCTTTTGATTTTTTTCGTATATTTGTGAAGTCATTATTCAAATTAATTTCTTACCTAGGAATTATTTTCCCAACATTATTAATTGAATGATGCATCATCCTACCATTATTTTCTTGGTGCCTCTTTTAATGTTTATTAAATTACTATATGTTAGGAAAAATATTTACAATTCAGAGGAGAGATAGAAGTGAAAATGGATGTTATACTGTAGTGATTAGAACAAGGAAAGGACCAGTAGAGAGTGCTAATTCTAGAATTCAGGAAGTAGACACTTCCTACTTCCTGGAGAGAAAATAGTCAACAGTATCAAATATCTTGAGAGTTTCACAATAAAATGTAAGGGGCATGAAAATGGCCCATTATTTTTCACAATTAAGAAGCAGTAGATAGAGTAATGGAGGAGTTGCGATTACATTAACAAACGGGAGGGGAGATTAGAGATAGTTGCATGAGAAATGAAGGTGTAGAAAGTGGAAAAACATTTTCCACAGGATCTTTGCAGGAAACATATGCGGTATTGAAAACCTTCTGAAAACTAAAGTTTTAAGTACATGTGAATGTTTTCAATATGTTTTCACAGAATTCAGAGGTGTCTGTGTTTGAAGTCAACATTCGATTTATTGGAGGCCTACTCGCAGCGTATTACCTTTCAGGAGAGGAGGTGAGCAAGATCAAGTAGTACATTGTTTGTTTTGGGGAGGGGGTTGTGAGTGGAATTTAATAAAATGAAAGATTCCCCCAGGAGCATACCGCTTTCTTAATTATTGAATATTGAGCTAATGTTAAGGTTTGCTGAAAGAACTGGATGCTATAGGTGGGACTGTCCTTGGGAATGGTGATTTTTTCATCTTGAGAATCTCAGTAAAACATAAATTGATCACAGATCTTAGCTTCATAGACGCCAGGCCTCCTTTGCAGGAGTGATCCTTCTCTAGGATGTTGCCGCTGCAATTAATTACATGGTTGGAACAAAAGAGGGAAAATTATTAGGACCATATTTAAGGAGTGAATGGGGAAGATTGAATATGGATCCTCCTAAGACCAAAAATTAATTATTAAAACTGTCTGGAAATTGAATACAGTTCTTTTTGCTATAAATTGAAAAACAAAATACAACAACTCTGAATTCTCCTTTCTGGACATCTTGGTGTAACAAGACATTTCTATTTCATTTTCTGAGAAACTACTTTGCCCATATATTTAATTAGTTTGTTGGTCTAAATAATTGTAAGAGCTCTTTGTAAATTTAAGAAAATTCATCTTTTGTTATATGTGGTGTAAAGATGGATTTCTGTGTTATCTTCAGTTTTTATTTTTTGTGGTTAACCATAACTCATCATTTTTAGGATTTTTTAAAAGTGTTTATAGCTCCTAGATTTTGTTTATTAGCAAGTCTTCCCCATGTCTATTATTACAAAACAAAAATTCCCATTTTCTTCTGGATTTTTATGATTTTATATGCTTATATTTAAATATTTTATCTATGCTGTGTGCTTGTGTAAAGAGTGAGATAATCCTGTACTACAATTTTTTTAGAAGTAATATGTTTGAAGATGCTGGTATTTAATATAAATATTATATATAACGTTTATTTAGTTTGTGATTTTACTGTCAGACTTCATTATGTAACTTCATTATCCCTGCAACCTATGTTCCATAGCCAGAATACTTCAGTTTGCATTTAATAAAATTTAAAAAGTGAGTTGTACTCTGGCCAACATGTTTTTAAACTTTTGTGTGTATCAGAATCACGTAGGGTGTTTTTTAAAAATGAAGATTCCAAGCCCTGCTCTCAGGGCTGAGATTCAGGTCATTCAGTGTGGAGATCATTATTTATGTTTTTTCCCCAAGGCTCCTTGTTAAAGGTGACTTTGGAAATGGTGCTTCTATACTTTGGGAAACTTTGACCTTAACTAATTTTAATAAAGTCAGTGTAAATTAAGTGATAATATTTTTAAGGTCTGATTTATTGAGATATTACTTATTACATAGAGTAAAATTCACCCATTTTAGTGTATACTTCTATGAGTTTTGATAGTGAATACAGTCTAATGACCGCTAGCACAGTCAAGATACAGGAGAATTCTTCCTAGAAAATTCCCTTTTACTGTTCATAGTTACCCCACCCCCTACTGCCTGCCTATTGGTCACTTAGCTGTCTCAGTTGTCAGCTTGACCATCATGGTATCACAGTGTTTGTGTTGAAGTAACCCTTGTTTTACTTACTAATGGTCCCAGATTACAAGAGTAGTGATGCTGGCAATTGGGATGTGCCAAGCAAAAGCCGTAAAGTACTTCCTTTAAGTGGTGTATTCTCTCAGTTTCTGTTAGTCCGAAAGTCTATATAAATTCTTTTCTTGGAAAGCTGTTTCCTCTGTATGTAACGTGTTGTCCTCCCCACTTCGCGGCCCCCCCCTTTCCGGCTTTGGCTGCCTTTATCTGTTCATATTTTGTTTCGTATGAAGAACCTGAGTGGTTTTTGAGGGACAAGTAGGATTTACTTATTTTGGTTAAGGGTCTCTGAGCTTCTTAGATGTATGGTTTGATATTTTTTGGGAAATTCTCAGTCATTATCTTTTAAAGTATTTTTTTCTGCCTCCTTTCTCTCCTGGTATTTCACTTACTCATAATTATTCAGTTTGAAATTGTCTCATAGCTCTTGAATTTGCTGTTCTTTTCAATTTTACCCACCGCTTTTTTATTCCTCATGTTTCAGTTTGGGTAATTTTTACAGCCCTGCCTTTAAATTCACTGACTTTTATTCTCAGCTCTATTCAATCTACTTTTGAGCCTGTTGAAGGCATGTGGCATCTCTGTTACTTTGATTTAAAAAAAAAATATTTTGTAGTATTTCATTTGACTTTTACAGTTTCAATTTCTCTATTATAATTTCTCATTGTCTTCATGCATGTTTTCCACTTTATCTACTCTCTTTTAACATATTAGTCATAGTCCTTTTAAATACTGTTTCAACTTCAGAGTCTGCTGGTAGGTTGCTTGCTGTATCTATAGAAAGTGGATTTTTTTTCTTGCTTTCTTAGGCACTTCATAGATTTTGATTGAATGCCAGATATTGTGTATGGGGCAATAAAAACTGAGGTTAATGATATTTATGCCTGGATTGGCATGCCTGTGCTGTCTGGAATTGAACCACGTATGGGTTTTCTTACTTGTTATGGTTCCCTGCAGTATACCACTAGGTTTAAATTCCTCTATCATTACCTTGTAATTAGAGTGGGCCTGGTTTGCAGACAAGTTTTTCTTAATGTTTTTGGTCTACCACAGCGATGCCTGTGCCTCAGAGGGTCTCTTTCTATACATACCTTACCTCTCCCCCAGCTGTCTCTCCATGCTTCCTATCCTTTATGTCCTTTCTTTTTTCTGTCTTGATCTATCTGTATCAATATCAACATGTCTGTATCTCTCTATCTAGCCATGAGTTTACACCAAACACAATAAAGTTCATTCTAGCTTTCAGCATTTTCATATTTCCACTTTTCTTTTCTGTTAGTAAGAAACCTGCCTTCTAGTATTCCTTATTTATTTATATATTGGCTTAGTCTTGCTATATGAAACCACTTTCCTGACCTCGCCAGGCTGCTACTTTGTTAATGCACCTTCTTCACATGGACTCCTCTGGGGCTTGACTGCTTTCCTCCTATTGATCCCAGCACCTCTCCAGGACACTGCTGCCCACTCCAGTCATACGTTCTGGGCTCAGACCCTTGACTTCAGGAGATTCTGGAGTGAAATAGTAAGCAATGAAGGGAGGAAGAAAATGGAACTATTTTGATGCCTTCAATTTCAGATATTTTTCCAGATGTCCTTGAGAAAGGAGAGTATTTTTCTTTTTACTTTCATGCTTATCTAATTATGTAGAAGTACTAAATATTTTGTGTGTAATTGGCATACTTGATTAATTTTCCTTCTAAAAAGCATATGATTCAAAATTAATTATGAACAGCTCATGAAAGAGAAGTGCCAGCCTTGGCTGTTTCATATCAGGCTCCCTACCTGAAGGTTGAAGCAAAATGTTGAAATTTTGGTTGCTGTGGTCATAGGAAAACACTAAATGCTGAAAAATATGTGATGTTACTAGCATTGCTATTTTTGCCATTTTTATGTCTCAGACTTTAAGAAGAAACGTTTTGAGGTAGAGGAAAGTATTGATATACATGCCTTGAAGTTAAATGTTTGAGTTCCTACTGTGCCTCCCTTTTATAATGATATTTGGTAAGGCATTTACCTTCTGTAACAAACTGATTCATCCATGAAAATGTGAGAGTTCACTTGAGAGTTGGGAGGTTAAGTTATATGACAGTGCCTAACATAATACCCAACTCAATAGATGTTTACTTTTCTTCCTCCTCTGACTTTTTCCTATGTGGTGATTATTCTTTTTTTCTAATGGGTGGGGAATCCTTTTATTTATTTAAAATAGGTATCATATATTAATTTCTTAGGATAGAGTCTACTCAAAAATAAAGAGAGCATGTTTTACTTTTGTGACTTTCTCATGCAGTAGAATATTACTGACCTTTACTTTTCTCTTTGATCATTTTACATCGAAAGCTCTAATCTATATGTTCCAGGAAACCAACAATGAGTCCCTGAGGCCTGCTAAAAAGAAATAAAACGTAAAAAAATAAATTGAATATGACATTATTCTAATACTTACAGACAATGAATTCCTATGTGTCATGTAAGCCAGAAAATTACCTGTAATTTATAACATGGCAAAGTGCCTCTTTTATAGAATATTATGCATGTATTCTATGTTCTGGTAGAGGGAACAAAATGAGCATTATATGTCATCTAACGAAGTGTCCTTCTTCTTCTGTTGCTTTATTAATATCATAAATGTGAAACTTTATCACTTTATTTTCTTAGAACAGGGCTATTTATATTAAATATTCACAAGTTTAAAAATCTTGATGATTTATTATGTTTACTTGCTGCTAGCCTTAAAAAATGGCATATCTTTTACAGGATCATCTCATCTCATTTTTTAAGGGTTATCAAAGTGGCATCCCTTCCTGAGTAAGATAATAACAATGTGGATAACTTCACCTGAAATCTGTCAAAAAGAGTGGAGAAATGGTTATTTGGAATTTATATGCATTTCACAGATAATGAAAACAAAATTAAAGAAACAACACCAAAATCTTTCTTTAGCAGAACACAAATGGTACTGTATTACCTGTAGGGTAAGATCATTTCTGAATAAGTTCACAGATACTTTCTAAGATAATAGAATATCCCTTTTTGACCTAAAGTCCTTTAAGAAAAGCTCTGAAGTTAAAGGAATGTAGAATATTAATTTTTTTCTGGTTTAAATATTAATCATTATTGTCCTACTGCACTAATTCTATTTTTGTAAAACCTGATTTTGCTCCAAAGATTGCTGTTTTCACTGAAAATTTGATATTTTCATTTTCTCCAGAAATGTGGTAATTGGACAAAACATTCCACTATTCTTTGCTGACTCAGATAACATTTTAAGATATACTCTCCAACATTTTCTTCTTAAATGTGAGAGTTCATCTACATGTTTGTATGCATTCACACATGTTTAAAGTCACGGTACTAATAACAATTCATAGTTGATGATTATGTTTATGATTACTGGTTTGACAAATCAGAAGACAGAGTTTGGAGCGG